GAGGCCGGGGGACAGAGGGTCTCCTTCCGTCTGGACGTCACAGGTCAGTTGTTTGAGGGCACTAAACGTGCTCATTTGGATGAGAGGCTAAGACTGACTAATAATCTGAAGGGCCCTGGCGCTGCGGCAGGGAACTTGCCCTCTGCAATTCTCCCATCATTAACATTCTGTTTTCACACATATGGTTTGGCTGTGTGAGCAGAAACGGATGTTATTAAGTCTGGGGAGCTGTCCTTATTTTTATGTGGTAGCATTTATCACCCCCAAAACATCTCAGGGGTTCTCTGTGTTGCTTTTTGGTGCCCAGGGATATTCATGGCTCTTCCTGCTGTTTAGGATTGGGGTAAGCCAGATATGTCTCTCTGGGCTCTGAATGTCCAAGTGTCTGCCGCTCCTGCATGCCTTAACCCAGCACAAACATTCTTGTTCACAAGAAGCATTTCTATTCAACTTAAATAAAACTAGGGAAATTTTGATCTCCTAATCATAATTGGATTTTCTTGCAACAAAAGCTAGCTTATTGTAGTTTTGGGTACTCCTTCTTAATTTCTGAGATGTAGAGGTCTCTGTGTGTACTAAGATGTAGGTCCACATTGCATGGCAGTGTCTGTGTGTGGTCAGGAAAGAGCAGAAGGCTGTGGATGTGCTGCTGCAGGATTAGAATGCTCTCCCCAGGGAAAGTCTTATTTTCTAAAAGCAGGTTAGAAAACAAGTCAGTATCAGTATTCTTCTTGGAGCGTCATTTAGGAAAAGAGAAAGAAGTAGCTTATGTTTTTTTCCCCCTAGTAGGGTGAGTTCCTCTAGTGGGTTCTCTGTCCACAGTCAGTGCTGATGTCACGGACTGGAGTTCATCTCTCTGCACCTTCCCCACTCATCAGACAGAAATCTGAGATGTGCATCCATCTTCTTTCACTTAGGAGCCCTCTCCTACCTCTGGGGGTCACTAGATAACATTTAAAGTAATTCTATCACTAGGAAATGGTTTATGAATAAACATATCAACAAAACAAAATGAAACAAAACAACACAAGAAAAAAAACATCTTGTATCTTTACTTCATTTCATTTTCAGAGAATATGAAATAAAAAAAATAAAACCACTTGGCTATTTTCTAGAAAGTTGTATAAAAAGTGACACAAAAAGAAGTAGAAATCTTGAATAGTCTTAATGTCTTTCTGAAACAGAATCATAAAAACCAATTTATCATAGAAAAGGGTGTTAGTACAAGGGCTTATGGATAAATCATACCAAACATTCTAGAAAGTAATTATTAGTTCCAGTGCTTTATTGCACAGTAAGATGATGATAGTTGACCATAATGTTTAATGCATTTCCAAACAGCTAAGAGGATTTTAAATGTTCGCAAATAAATAATAAACACTTGGTGCAGCAAATATGTTAATTACCATGTTTTGATAACAATGTAGAGAGGTTATTGAAACACTACATTGTATTCTATAGTTTATTATTTATTAAAAATGAAAAAAAAGGAACCGTGAGATGGGTCAGAGGTTTTCTTTCTTTCTTTTTTTAAAAAAAGAGATTTATTTATTTTATGTATGAGTGCTCTATCTGCATGTACAATGTTATGCCAGAAGAAGGCATAAGATCCCACTATCGATAGTTGTGAGCTACCGTATGGTTAGAACTCAGGACATCTAGAAGAGCAGTCAGTGATCTTAATCGCTGAGCCATCTCTCCAGCCTTGGGTCAGAGGTGGGGTGGGGTGGGGGTGGGGTGGGGGGCAGATCCCCTGTGATGTAAACTCACTTCTCAAGGTGAGAAACTCTGCACCTGGGCTCTCTCAGCTGGAGGCTTACAGACAGTGTCTCAGTAGGGAGCCTGTCTGTGTCTCTGAGAGGGGAAAGCTGCTGCCATAGGTATGATGGCCTGGGCAGCAGCTGAATTCTAACATACATTTGTGTAATGCACAGTTATGACGATCAGTTAAAACAGTAGTGAGAAACCCAAGTCAGGATGTAGAAAGCATCTCTTTGTATCGTCTGTTGTCCTGACAACACCAGTGGAAGGTGAAATTGTCAGACTTAAAACAGCACAAAAAGTCTATTTCTAATTCCAAAGCTAAAACGGGTTCTTAAGACACACGTGGAGAAGAGTTGTTAGTGTTTTAGAGGACAGTAAGGAGGTTGAAGTGCATAGAAATCCATGGAAGATCCAAATACATTCATGTCTGGTGAAAGTCCGAGTGGATGTCTTACTTTGGGGAGTTGGAAGTTAAGGAGATTTGAAAGGCCACCAACAGCCACTGAGGAGACAGGTGTGCACACACAAAGTGGGGTGCCACGCAGGTCGCTACCACAATTTGAAGACAACTGTCCCACCCAAGAAACAGAACAGGAACCGTGACCACACCCGGGAACAAAATAATTGTTTTTTCTTTTATGGGCAGGGGAGATGGTTCCCCAGGTAAAGCCACCTGCTGCCAATGCTGGCACACTAAGTTCAATCTCTAGAACCCACATGATGGGAGAACTGAAAGTTGTCCTCTGACCTACACACACACACTGGAGTGTGCATGTGTTTACACACACTCACAATAAAAAAAAATCTGATCACTTAAAAATATGTAAGCAAGGGATGGTATAGACTTAAGTGCTAGCTTAATAATTTCTGTATTAAAAATTAGCCCAGGAACTCAGGGCTCACTCAAAGTGAGTGTCAGGTGGGTTAGTCAGAGCACAAAAGCCCGAGTCACAAGGCCCCTGGAGGATGACTGCAGTGGCCTTCAGACATTCTGGGGGTCATTTGTTCTGTGTTTACAGCTATTCCCTTAGAGAACAGAAAAAGGAGATAAACCTTTAGTTCTGTTCATATAGACAGCATAGCATAATAAAATCTGGCCAGAAGATAAGAACTCATATTTTAGGTCAATCTATTGTGGGTATCAAGGACAATTTGTGAAGCACAATACTAATGAGCTGAACTCAGGGCATGTCAACAGGATCATACTCCGTGAGGACATTGATAGCCCAGGGCCATCTGTCTGGAATATTGCAAAATGAGTATACCGCCTCACCTTATCTGACTGACCAAAAATGTGAAATTATCTCAGCAAGGGCAAAACAGAGGATAAAACTCAGCAATGTACATTAAAAAGAAGTGTTTGACAATATTTATCATCAGTCATGTCATAAAACTTGTAGCAACTCTCTTTAAACAGGTTGTTTCTTGTCTTGGCCAGCAGTACTGCATGCGAATCAAAGACTACAGTACTCTGCTCTGTGGTCAGAAACAGCACAAAGAGGCCAGTCGTCACCAAATCCTATGGCAGAACTAAGAAGAACAGCCCCCAAAAGGCACAGAAGTTAGGAAAAGAATACCATGACAGACTCACAGATGTTAAGGTTTATTCAAAAGATAAATGGATAGATTTAGGAAGAATTGAGAAAGAATCCTGTACACAAAGACCAATATAAAGAACACCCTTCACTATAAACTAACAACGGGCCTCTTGCAAAATGAGGTTAAAAGCTTTAAGTATCTTCAAGAGTATCATACTTATCAAACCAAGTCTGATATCACACGTGGAGAGACTGGGTTTGGATTATTAAACATATTTTACGAGACAGGAAGCTCCACACAGATGGAAAGAAATAAGATGGATTTTGCAGGTGTCCAGTCCCCATCACCATCTGAGCACTGGGGTGGTTTCAAAATGACAGTGAATTTCTCAGGCTAGCTATAGTCAGCACACCAGAGCTGGTGGTGAATAGTTGCTGTGTTAGGTACAAGGCTGCCACAGAGGTATCGTGTGTCTCTAATAAGAGAACTGCAGGGACTGGAGAGATGATGGCGCAGTGGTTGGGAGCCCTTGCTGCACCTCCAGAGGACTCAGTTCAATTCCTAGCACCCACATGGTAGCTCACAGCCAGCTGTAACTCCAGATGCCCTCTTCTGGCATCTGTGGGTACTGCATGCATGTAGTGTCCAGATACATATGCCGGCAACACCCTCCTAACCCCACACACATGACAGGATTGCAGCAGATCTGGTTTTGTGGCTCTTAGATTTATTTGTGGTTCTAGAATTGGACAGCAGTCTAGTTTATGGATAGTTCTGCCCCAGAACATGGCAGGTTATGTGTGGGCAGGCTATGTTTACAGCCAGAGAAGAGGGATTGCTTTCAGCTGGCATCTGTCTTGTCTGACCATATCAAAACACTTACCTACTGGTCCCAATAGTAACTTATAGTCTGATCACTTTAAGATAAATTAGAGTTAGACAAAAAAACCCTCTAGACCAAATTTAATCCAGCTTAATACAATGAGACAACAGATTCTCAATGCAAGGATGGTTAACAGGTAATAATATATACACATGCAGAAGGAGGGTGCCTTAGTTACTTTTCTATTGCTGTGAAGAGACACTATGACTGTGATAACTTATAAAAGAAAGCATTTAATTGGGTATTGCTTACAGTTTCAGAGGATCAGTCCATGACCATCGTGGCGGCAGGTAGGCAGGCATGATACTAGAACAGTGTTGAGAGCTTGTATGTTTTCTGCAAGATGGAGACAGATATTGAAACTTGCCCTGTTGGGGGCCTTTCAAACCTCAGAGACACTCCCAGTGACACACCTCTTCCAGCAAGACCACACCTCCCAATCCTTCTCAAACAGTTCCACCGGCTGGGAACCAAGCATTCAGATGTATTAGCCTGTGGGGGCCGTTCTCATTCGAGCCACCAAAGAGGGTTAAGCATAAACACAGGCTCAGCTGTCCCTCTGCCACCCCCTTAGTTTTTCCACATCTGTGCAGAGTGTGTAGAAAGGACAACATCGTCATGAATGGCACGCTGAGCATTTAACTGTATATGGAAAATACTGAATAATTAGAATAGTAGTAGTTTAGATCACATGAGTCGGCTCCAGGTGGGTTAGAGGCAAAGGGTAAAAGGTGACAGTGTGAAAGCTGAAGGTGACATCATGGGTGAAAACTGAAGGTGACATCATGGGTGAAAACTGAAGGTGACATCATGGATTGCTCTAAGGACTGCAGGGTGAGGACAGAGTTCCTTCCAGGAATGCAAGTCTTCTCATCAAAATACAAGCTGCGGAGACTGGACCACATGGCAACAAATCACACTGATTCAGAAGGACTTTTATCAGAGGATTTAGGACACAGTGAAAAGATGAGGATAGTTACCTCCCACATTCTGCCAAAATCACAGCGTATTGCCATCCAGTGAACAGTGCCTGGGGGTGAGCGAGAACCTTGAGTTATGACACCACAGTGCTATGCACAGGTGGCTAGAAAGATCAGAGGCCTGCCACCATCAGGACCAGGCAGTGAGGGCCACATGTGGTCCAGGCTGCCCTTCAGAGGCAGCAGAAAGATCAGAGTCCTGTTACCATCAGGACCAGGCAGTAAAGACCACATGTGGTCCAGGCTGCACTTCAGAGGCAGCAGCTGATGATGATTAACGTGGGACAGGGCGTGGAACCTTAAAGACTCTGAGACCTTGTGAGAACACACCCTAACACAGTCCTGTGGGAGACCCTCCATTGTCAGGGAGAGGCAAGTAGACAAATGTCATGACTTGCAGACCTTTCCAGCATGCACCTAGGAACGGGCACAGCAGCTCTCCTGGAACAGCCTATGCAGAAGTGTGCCATCCAGTACTTCTACCCATGTGGCCTTCCTCATTGATTACATCTCTGACCCTGTGCATCCCTCTCTGTCCCCCAGAGCCCAAGGTGGTGTTTGCCAAGGAGCAGCAGGCTCGCAGCGAGGTGAAGGCAGAGGTGGGGGCCAGGGCCACACTGAGCTGCACGGTGGCCCAGGCCCAGACCGAGGTGACCTGGTTCAAGGAAGGGAAGAAGCTGAGCTCTGGCTCGAAGGTTCGAGTGGAGGCCTCGGGCTGTGAGAGGAGGCTGGTGGTGCAGCAGGCGGGCCAGGCGGATGCTGGGGAGTACAGCTGCGAGGCCGGGGGACAGAGGGTCTCCTTCCGTCTGGATGTGCCAGGTGGGTGCTAAGACACGAAGTTGACCTTGTGGGAGGTTCAGTGCCTGGCTCATGGCCACACTGACTCTGTGCTCCTGTGTTACATGCTTGTGTTACACAGTCATGTTTTTGTTCCTCCTGGAGCCTTCGTGATGTGGCTTGGGTCCATCTTTTTGACCGGATGCTGTGTCCAGGCTGCTCTGCTCTGGGCTGTGCTCCCACATGGACCCGAGAGCACTCTGTCCTTCAGAGCTCTCAGTGGCTCTGAATGTGACGAGGGGAAGTTTGACCTCCTATTCATACTCAGAGTCACCTCCAGCTTGGGCTCCAGGTCATCCAAGGTTTAGTCTGGACAGCCCTCCCTGCTTTTCCCATGGAGCCCTCTGTGTTTGGCCTGTACAGAGGACCAACAGCAGGGTCCTGGGCTGAGAACCTCTGAGCTTTGGACCTCTCTTCCCAGCAATTTTGGTTTTTTCTTTCGCCTCAGCCAGAACATTATACATGGATTGTACCTCTTAAGAATTTGTTTTGAACATTTAGAAATTGTAAGGACTATGAAGCTCGCTCTACCAATGACAGCTTATGTCAAGAAAGCAGCCCTTGTTCGACAATATTCCACAACATCCGCAGAACTGCCTAGAAATTCAGGCCCCTGTCTCCCCCTGCTGGCCGCTGAGAGATCTGTGAGCTGACGTCACTGTCCTTTATGAGAAGCATTTAACCGGGGGAGCTAGTGGGAAGCCTCAGCAGGTTAACCTGCCACCAAACCTCAGGACCCTAGTTCGATTCCCCCAGCCCACCTAGTGGAAGGCAAGAAGGGAGTCCCCTGAACTGTCCTCTGATCTCCACACATACATGGTAACACAAAATCACACAAAATCAAAAAATAAATGCTGTAAAAGAGTTTATCCTGAAGAGGGCGGCTTGAAGCTCCCTTTGAGGTACCGCCACAAGGCAGTTTGGGATTGTTTTCACGAAATGCCTCATTGTTGTGAGGACCAAATGAAGTATCCCTGATGACAAATGATTTAAAGGGAATATCACATGACTTTATGCACATGAATTTTGAATAGTTGCATTAAATTGGTCAATTCCTTATGAACTGTTATCAAAACTTAGAGATGAAAAAACAGGGAATTCAAATAGCCCTGTAGCCCTTTAAGTTGACAAACACTAGCTTCAAAAACTGTTATAGGAGAGGGCCTGGAGAGATTGTTCAGCTGTTAAGAGCACACACTGCTCTTGTGGTAGACCTGAGTTCAATTCCTAACACCCATATCAGGTCATAACTGCCTGTAACTCCGTCTCCAGAGGTTCTGACTTCTCTGGCTCTGGGAGTGACACACACACACACACACACACACACACACACACACACACACACGCACACACACACACGCACACACACACACGCACGCGCACACATACATACACTCTTTTTTTTTTAAAAAAGATTTATTTATTTATTATGTATACAGTATTCTGTCTGCACGTATCCCTGCAGGCCAGAAGAGGGAGCTAGATCTCATTACAGATGGTTGTGAGCCACCATGTGGGTGCTGGGAATTGAACTCAGGACCTTTGGAAGAACAGCCAGTGTTCTTAACCTCTGAGCCATCTCTCCAGCCCTACACACATACACTCTTTAACACACATGTGCACACATACACTCACACACATTCTACAATAATCCCACAGTCACACACACATATATATATATATATATATACACTCAACTTTAAAAAAAATTGTAGAAGAGTTAAGTTCAGTAGCCTGAAGATAAGTTAAGAATATTCTGGAAGCAAATAATTTGTGTAATGGTCATTTCTCTAGAATTCAAAGGGCATGTATATCACTTTCTAACTCACTTTACATAGATAGTACAATATTGACCAAAATGACAGACATTATTAAAAACTGAAAGTACAAGCCAATCTCTCATAAATGCTGAAATAATGTATACAAAATATCAACAAATTGATTGGGGCAATATTCTAAGAGCTGAGTATATTGGGATAATGTTAGTCCAGGGATGCAAGGCTGGCTTAGTATTAAAATGTAAAAGCCAATAAAATCTGTGATATTGGGAGAATCAGAGCTGGAGAGATGGCTCTGTAGTTAAGAGTGGAGGACCTGAGTTCAATTCCTAGCACCCACATCAGTGAGTTCACCATCTCCTGTAACTCCAGCTCTAAGGGATCAGTGGCCTCCATTAGCACTGACACTCACTTGCATATGCAGACACACAGACACAGAGACACACACAGGCATAATTAGAAATAAAATAAATACATGTTTTAAAAGTTCAGAAGGAGCCAGGGGCACACATCTTTAATCCCAGCACTTGCGGGCCAGAGTTAGCTGGATTTCTTTGAGTTTGAGGCCAGCCTGGTCTAAAAATCAAAATCAGGTTGTAGGGCAGGCAGGGTTACATAGTGAAATCCTGTCTCCAAAACAAATTTTTTTTACATCATATCTAGAAGATATGAAATCTAAATCTACTTATGTATATTAAAAAATTCTTATGTTGGGCATGATAGAGCCCTTACACAGCTTCCCTAAAACCCTGACACCAGAGAAAAAGAATCTCTTGAATTAGTAATAAAAAGAGGCTTCCTGAATTTCACAACCAGTGCTATTGAGAGCAGCCGGTGCCACGGTAAACACACAGCCATGAATGCTTTCTCTTTTGTTGACGATGGCAGAGGAGCTTCATGAACAGCACATGGCCAGCATAAAGCTCTAAGGAGTACAAATTAAAGAAACGTAATTTACAGAAAGGTGGATGTCACGGTTGGTGTGATTGCCATTTCTGTATGGAAACTAGCAAAGAAGAGTAGGGAATGATAATAGAAAAAAGTTGTGATAGCCAGGAGTGATGGCACACACCTTTAATTCCAGCACTCGGAAGGCAGAGGCAGGAGGATCTCTGTGAGTTCGAGGCCAGCCTGGTCTACACAGTGAGTTCCAGAATAGCCAGCTGACTCAAAAGCAAACAAAACAGCAAACATACAACAAATAACAACAAAAAAGAATTGTCATACTATCCCAAGTGTGCAGCTACTAGTGCAGTGTCTCCTGAGAGACATTCAGGCTTCTGAGGGGGACTTACTTCAGGAGGACAGCAGAGAGCAATGGGGAGGGTGTTAGTTGGTGGTGAGATAGGCAAGGAAAACCCGGAGAGCCCAGTCCTGCTGACTGTCCAAGAGCTAATGATTTATGAAGAGGCCGGGCAGTGGTGGCACACGCCTTTAATCCCAGCACTCGGGAGGCAGAGGCAGGCGGATCTCTGTGAGTTCGAGGCCAGCCTGGGCTACCAAGTGAGTTCTAGGAAAAGGCGCAAAGCTACACAGAGAAACCCTGTCTCGAAAAAACAAAACAAAAAACAAAAAACAACCAACCCCCCCCCAAAAAAAAGATTTATGAAGAAAGAGTATAAGAACATTTCATCTGCCAGATATTAAAAGATATTTTTATTCCATTTTTCTGATGGTCCAGGCCACCTCTTCAGCATAGCATCAGATGACACTCGAAGAGGGCAGGGACCTTGCGTGGTCCTGGGGGAGATTCTCCATTGTCACTGTAGGGCGAGTGCACATGTATGCTGACCTAATGTCACTTCTTGTACAGACTCTGTCAAGGCATCCCTCTGCCACAGCGATGGGCAGTGTGGCTGAACTGTGGTTTTATCCTGAGAGGTGCTCAGGCTTCTTCTGGGCACAGTGTCGTGTCTGGAGGGTGTTCTGCTCTCCAACCGTCCTATTCAGATCTTCTCCCCCCATGTGGCCTTCCTGACCTGGACAGTGTCTCTGACCTTGTGCATCCCTGTCTGCCCCCAGAGCCCAAGGTGGTGTTCGCCAAGGAGCAGCAGGCTCGCAGCGAGGTGAAGTCAGAGGCGGGGGCCAGTGCCACACTGAGCTGCACGGTGGCCCAGGCCCAGACCGAGGTGGCCTGGTTCAAGGACGGGAAGAAGCTGAGCTCTGGC